GTGGTGCCAGCATGACATGGACGCATTGCCTTGGGTGCGACTTACCAGCTAGAAATAAAGTGCGTGATGGTCGATCAGGCGCACAGCGACCAACATGGGAATGGAGGCACAGCCGGCAACCAGAGCCTGGCCAGAAGAGGCAAGTTAGCGTAATTCAGAGGAAGCAACGGGAGTAGGGGGAGAGAACATACACCTCCGACGAGATTGACGAGGGCGGCCTACTGGATTGTCTTTTTGCGGCCCATCTAGTTGGGCAGCCAGGCAATAGGGAGGAGGGCGCCAGAGGCGGCACCGACCGAGAAGAGGGCATTGATGGCGCCTAGCACGGAGTTTGTGTAGCCGGCACGCGGGCCACTGGTGGACAAGTCAAAATAAGCATAGAAGACGCTCTGGCCGATGGATGTTGAGAAGACGGAAAAGGCATATCCATATGTGAGACCGCTCAACGCATCTAAATAACAATCTAGAGAGAGAGAAGATGCAAGTTAGCGATTGCTGTCCATTTTCCTAATGGGTACTTTCTTGGCCACTCCTTTCCGAGTCGTTTTCTGATTGATTTTGTTCGTTCATTTTTATTTTTGCTAGTCAGAATATGCACACAGAAAGGTCATATGCCGAAGTGGCTACCATCTTGCCGGTTCGAAGATATTCCCTGTGTTGACGGTACTACGGGTACCTTCCCCAAGCTTTATAAAGCAAATGGATCTACTGTGTTAGTTGGGAACGTTTTTTCGTTTCTAAAAAAAAAAGACACGTGCTTTGGTGTACATTCTTTTACTGACAGAAAGGAAATTACACTGTTGATACCCAACGCGTACTGACTTGTTTCTTACCTGACACTATTTCGCCGTGTTGTACTTCATTGCCCGACCATCGTTTATGGCCACATTGGAGTGGACAAGTCTTCTAACTTCCAGGGATATCTGGGAGTCTCTTTTCTTATGCGTCTTTGATTTTCTTTGAACAGACGATGCAGAGGCCACAAGACAGCATCAGATCCATGGTGTGGAGTGCCCGTACCCTGGGTGTTAGAAATAATCTCTCAGCTATGTGATCCGGACTTTGTCAAGGATATTTCTAATCTTAACCATGCTGCATAATGGTCGTCAACCTAACAATTACGGTCAAAATATTGGCATAATTGGGAATGGGGCATCTGGTCTTTGGCAGGCATGGCATGACATTCAGAGAAAGCTGCCCTCCATCTTTAATACAAGCCAATGCGTGGTGAATGGGCCCAAAGGGCATAAGTGTAGTGATAACAGTACAAAGAATGGCTATCTGTCATACGGCGCCCATCGTCACTACTAAGCATCGGCTTTGAGCCAAAGTAGAAGCATACAGACGATGTACAAGAAATAGTTATATGTACGCTTTAAATCCGAAGAGGAGAAGACAGTCCTATGCCTCGCGTCTGATTTTTTGCTCCACGACAGTGCCTGTCCACTGACCTCTTTCTGTGCATCCTCTCCATAATCATCTTCTGTTACAGCTCCTTTTTACCAGTCGGCTTCTTCCAGCCACCTCAACATACCTTTTTTCACCTTCTGGCCACAGTGTCCCAAGACGTGGGTCGAATCTCATGAGTAGTTTATTTACTCGTCCCAGATGACGGCACTGAGACCGTCCTCGTTGCCAGGTACGCCGGGTGTGCCCACGACTAGGTTGGCCAGAAGACCTCCCAGACGGCCTGTCGTCACATTGCGTTCGACAATCGCAACATTCGACGATGTCTGGCCGCCAAACGCCACCAAGTCGCCCGCCTTGTTGATCTGGAAGGTGCGCGTGTAGTACGCGTGCGCGTTGGTCGATTCCAGAAACGTTAGTGCCCCGGTCGCCGGGTCCACCGAGTAGGTCGCCACCGAGTCTTGCTGCGCGCCAAACGACTTGTCGTTACGGTTCGTGGCATACACAAAGTTGCCAGACGTGTGGACTTCGGCCGTCTTGCTGTTGGCAGGCGCCGACTTCCCCGCCGGATACGCCGACAGCGACTGCGTCTTCTTCAGTGTCAGGCATCCCCCACTCGCCGGGTACGTCGCCTGCCACACTGTCACACTGTTGGCCAGCTCGTTGGCCACATACAGCATCGTGCCGTCTACCGACCCAGCCTTGGGAACCCACCAAGTGCCGTGGCGCGGGCCATCTGCGGCACCCGTCTGCGCCGCCGGGCACTCTGTAAGCTTTCCGTCGGCCGCGCTGATGCTGAAGATGCGGATCAGATCGGCGCCCAGGTCGGCACTGAGCAAGAATTTCCCTGTGGGGTCCGTGAACGTCGAGTGCGGGTGCGGCTTGTCCTGGCGTGCACGGTTGGGGCCTGGTCCAGACATGGTGTAATGGAACCGCTGCAGGTTGGTGCCTCCACCAAGTGGCAGCTTGAATGTTGCAATGGCCGAGGGGTCACTGAAAGTGTTAGCTGTGCGGTCTCATTCTTTCTTTCTCTCTTTCTCTTTGTCCCTCCGCCTTTCTCCAACTATTCCACTCAAACGTACTACTCGGCCGCGGCAATGAAGCCTCTGCCGTCACTGCCACCGTAGAGTGTGCTATGCAGCTCACCACCCGGTGTCCGGTCCGTACCGGCCACCTTGAGCGCACCGTTGGCACCCACAGATAGTGCCGTCAGAGTCGAGCCCGTGTTAGCACCGCTCTCGTCGGTGCAGTACACCGTCCCGCCCACCTTGTCCAGCGTCAGCCAGCTGGGCATCTGGCCACAGGCTTTGATGCTCGATGTCACCGCCAGCGACGGCGTACCGGTGCCAGTTGTCAGGGCCAGCGTGTAGAGGTTTCCATTGTAGTGCGACACTAGCAGATTTGATGTTGTTGCCAGGGATACCGATGGGATGAGGCATAGCAGTGCCGACAAAGACGATTTGAAAGCTACCATGTTGGGCAGGCCTGTTTGATGAGCTGCGTAATTTTTTTCTTCCTTTCGTATCTATCGTCGTGTGTCTGGACGTTGATATAGATTGAACAACGTGCTATCGAAATCCTGGATGCCTTGACCAGCTAATATTTATGCGTTGGTCAACATGATTTTCAGAATAAAAAAAAGATGAGGGAAAGGTCCAAAACAAATACTAGAGCAAAAACAGGTCTCTGGCTATCAGAAAAAAAATTAATGAAGCGGGGAAGGGAATTCCCAAGCACGGAAAATACGAAGACGATATTACCCTTGACTGGGGGCAGCCACGAGAAGCTTGACTTACAGCGCGCACCAAGGGATGTATGACATGAGATGTTCCTGAATATCCAAGACCGACGCGGCAATATACGGCCGGAATTGGTATATGAACGAAACCCATGAACATATACAACTGTCAGGTCCCCGTGCGGAGAAACAATATCGGGAAACGTCCTTGGAAAGTGATTACCGTGGGCTAGGACAACCAATGTCAACCGCCGCGCATCCACATTGTCTTGCATGTGGTGGAGGACACGGACAGTTCTACTAGGCGACGATCCTCCCAAACGGTACAACAGGTTAAAAAATGCTACGCGATGTATAACCATACCACTATGGCTGTACTCGTAAGCAAGATGTCACAAAAGAAGCATCTGAATTTGCAAAAAGGCTAAATGTGACGCAGACCCATGGCGCCTCTATTCCATTATCCGGGCTGCTCAAGGCACTTCCCCACAGTCCTAAAAGTCGGGGAGGTGGTAAGAAAAAGTAAACGCAGAATTGAGTACTGCAGACACTTTTAAAGAGTCAGATGGATAAAAGAGGTGGCTTGACACAGCATATCTCACAAGATTCCTTTGAGAAGCTCCGATTCTTGTTGCAGGCAGACACTAGACGCTCGCCAACTAATTTTATCCACTCTCTAGATGGCCGGCCTTGTCAGTGTTAATACGTTGTGAAGTTAAAATTGTGTCGTACCTTGGGTTTATGTTAAGACATGGATGACATAATGTCTTCATTATCCTTCGCCCTTGAGCCCATTGATACGTTTCCATTTTGTTTTGGTGCAGAGGAAGGTTAAGGACAACCATGACGAGAGGCTCTACTACTACTTGTTTGCTTTTTTATTTTCTATTACTTCGCACCGGGAAACGGAAACTCGGATCTCCCATTCCGCGTCTTGATTTTCGGTGGGTCTCATCTGGATTGGCAAACGGTCGGCCTGGGTAAATCAAACCTGCTATGTGAACTCCGTACGGGTGATTCAACCTCTCCAGTAACGAAATTTGTCTATATGTTCCGATAGCTAAGTGCGGATAAAACGGATGAAAATCGTTCTGGTTGTTTTTAAAGTACAAGAGCGCTGAAGGGAAAGCCTGTCAAATGTTTTGCTTGGCTGCGGGTTGTGTAAGTCGGCGGTTGTAAAAGCCGACGATGCCGAATTTGGAAATTATTTTCGCAGTGTCACAATAATAGGTGCAATGCTAAACTCGGTCGCTTTTTCCATGCCATAGGACAATTGGGTATCAGCCTCGATCAACCTACACTTTTTTTGAAAGGTCTCTTCCATGATGAGTTCTGAGCATGATAATAACATTGGTGTCTGCCAGGAATTGGTCAGAGCCTCTCTTCCGAAATAAAACAGCAGAAAATCAAGCGATGTTCAACCAGGCGCGTTATCTTTCACATACACCACAGTGTCCACGGAGGATCAAATTACGCCTGTCGTATAATGAACAAAAAAAAATCCACTCCATAAATAGGCTGTAAGCAGTCAACTCACATCTCGGGACATTTCCACAGAGACTCTTCAAAGGACTCAATCATGTTTGTCCTGAGGACAAGGCGAGGCTAGCCACCTGCTGAGGCCCTTGTGTTGATCTGATCCGAATAAATGTCTACGTCAATGGTCTGTAGTCAATGAGAATGTATTTTCAGCTATATTTGTGGGCCAAAAACGGCTGATAAGTATTACCGTGAAGGAGGGCCTGACGAAAGAAAGGCGTGGGGACGCGGAATCACGAAGCGAGAGATTTTACAGGCAAGCCGAGCTCCTGCTTATTGTCACTCGCTCCGTGTCAGATAATTGCCTGTTACCTATTATCTCCCGGCATAAGTGCTTCCGCATTGGAAAATATTAAAGTGTACGATGGTTGTGGCAACGTGGAAGAAATGGGCCGCAAAATAAACACACAGGTAGGAAGGCAGCGGGAGACGCAGAATGCCAAAGTGTTACTGACGTGATGTGCGTCAACCACCGAACGATAAATCGGCTCACAACCGTCGTCCTTATATGCCATGGGAGCAATGCAAAAGAGAACAACATGGTACGGAATGAATAATTATTAAGAACAAGTGACAAAGGAAAACATGAGAGCTGATTTCTAGCCAAGTGATCTGATCAGGCAATCTAAACTTGCCGGGGTTTCCAGGTCGTTCTGGAGAATCATGTAGCTTTATGCCACCATATTCGCTTTTGGCTTTGTGGCGCAAATAAACCCCGGGTTGTAGTTTTGTTCCCAACAGAACGGACACTGATGAAATCATAATTTTCCCGACTGTGTTCCTCCAGTCATGACACCCAATGCCTCAGAGCCGGCCACCCACAACCACCACACACATTTCGTGACCTCTAAAGTGAACTCCAGACTCGCTTTACCAAGAACCTGTCTCAACTTGGTCTTGCCAGCCCTGCATACTCTAATCAATAATTGTGTACGGCACGGGAAATTTCCGCATCAGCCTCTTGTACGGTCTACCTGCCAAGAAACTATTTCGTCCTTTGAGCATAAGCAGAGGCCGTAACGTGGATGTGAAGTAGACACGGAGCACATTTTTTTTCACTCCTATTCAAGTCAGTTTTCTCCACGAGTTTATTATATTTTGAGAAAAAGAGTCTACTTTCCACATCCTATCTATCCAATTTCACCGTTCCTGTCATCCCCACTCGCCGAATCGTTGCCCATGCCATTGCTACAACAGTTCGACCGGAATCATGACAATGGGCAATGCCAATTTCGTGGTCGCTGTACTGTGGCTGCTCCAACTTCTAGGACAAGCTCATCTGGGATCGGCTGCCGCCCTAAACGTGAACGCAGAGGTCGAGGACTGTCTCACGAAAGCAGATGTGCCGTTCGACGCGCCCGGAACCGCTGACTGGTCACAAGATGCAGCGCCTTTCAATCTCCGACTCAACTATACCCCTGCTGCAATCGCTGTTCCAACAACAGTAAAGCACATACAAGATGCGGTCAGCTGCGCAGCCAAGCTGGGTGTGAAGGCAAATCCGAAATGCGGCGGCCACAGCTATGCATCCTTTGGCCTGGGCGGCGAAGACGGCCACTTGGTCATTGAGTTGGACCGCATGGATTCGGTTGTCCTTGACAGCAGCACAGGTATTGCAACAGTCCAGGGGGGTGCGCGCCTTGGGCACGTTGCCGCGGAGCTGTATGCTCAAGGCAGACGTGGTTTTAGTCACGGTACATGTCCGGGCGTTGGTATTGGCGGCCACGCCCTTCATGGCGGCTTTGGTGTGAGCTCCCACACACAAGCCCTTGCATTGGACTTTGTCGTGGGCATCAAGGTGGTGCTATCGAATTCAACAGTCGTGGACTGCTCCGAGACGGAGAACCCCGACCTTTTCTGGGCAATGCGCGGCGCCGGCGCCTCGTACGGAGTGGTGGCCGAGTTCAAGTTCCGGACATTCGTAGTGCCTGAAGTAGTTACCTTCTACTCGGCCGCGATTAACTGGAAGCAAGAGAAGGCGGTCGATGGTCTCAAGGCGTTCCAGGCATTTGCCGAGAGTGGCATGCCTAGTGAGCTGAACTTGCGCATGTTTATCACAAAGGACTTTGCCAACTTTGAGGGTCTGTACTGGGGCAACAAGACTGGTCTCCAGGCGGCTCTTGCACCACTGCTGAACCAGACAGGGGCCAAGCTGGTGCTGGCACAGCAGGGCACATGGCTGGACCAGTTGGAGCACTTTGGCAATGGCATGGATTTGAACCAGACGCATCCGTACAATATGGTGAGCGGTCTCTCTCTCTCTCTCTCTCTCCTCCTTCTCCATGTTAACAAAACAGCACGAAACCTTTTACTCGTCGAGCCTGTACACCAACAAGTTGAGCGACGACCAAGTCGGCGCTTTTGTCAACTACTGGTACGGCACTGGGAAAGCCATCAAGCGCGACTGGTATGCTCAAATTGACGTGCACGGCGGGAAGAACAGCGCTGTTGGTCGAGTGGCACCGAACGCCACCTCGTACGCGCACCGTGACTTCCTGCTCATGACCAACTTTTATGACCGCGTCGACACCGGTGCGTATCCGGCTGACGGGTTTTCGTTCCTGGACAACTTCACATCCAATATCACGGGTAGTCTGGAGCCGAACGAATGGGGCCGGTATGTCAACTATCCGGATCCGCGGCTGAGCCAGGCAGCGGCGCAGAAGAGCTATTGGAGCACGCACCTCGACCGGCTGCAGCAGCTCAAGGCGGGCGTGGATCCCCACAACCTCTTCGACTACCCGCAGGGTATCCTCCCGGCCACTGCCGCAGCCCCAACGTCGGCGACATCGTCGTCGACGTCGGCACCTACCAAAGCACCGTCGGCGTGAGCTACCGGGCTTTTGAAAAGGTTTGGGCGGATAAGAAGACTAGACATTGGGGGAGGGACGGGTATGGCATTGGGCGTTGAGAGCTTAGACGTGTGATTGGATTTATCGACTGTGAGATCGAACCGGCCGTCCTCAGCTGTGCTTTATACGGCGAAGGACTGTACTGGGGTGTTCAAAAAGTAGAGGCCATAGTTTCTGTTGCACTTTAGACATTGCATCTCGCTTACACTATTCGCGCCTCAAGTTTTGTTGACCGTCATTGTGGAGTTGCTTGCGGGCGATTGGTTGTTGGCCCAGAGATCCGAGCCGGTTGAGCCGGGGTCGGCGCCGTTGAAGTGACAACAGTTGTTGGACAACGCTGACGCTGCTGCTATGAGTATTTGTGATCTCAGCCTCATCCTTTGATTCCGTTTCAGACGTGCTTGTTCGACGGCATCCGGCGCTTCATTATTTCATCATTTGCTCGACGGCTTTTTCAACCCCACTAGTATGACAGCATCACACCATGACATGTGTGCTCTTGCGTGTTTTGGTGGTGATCTGATGTCTCCCTGTGCCTCCTGTTGCCTCATCCCATGCTATACCGGATCTGTCCTAACTGGCTAAGAAGAGGCCATGCCATGTGGACGACCCAGAGAATTCGAGGCGATGTGATAACTACTCTGGCCTCTGGTTGAAGTTTCGGTGGGTTATGAGGTGCAAAAACGAGACAAAGCGTGCCAAACTTTACTCTTTACTTCGCGAAATACGCGAAAAGACGTTGCAACAGAGGTGAGGCCGGCATCGCATCGCTTCATTGGCCGGCTGCATCGCGTCATTTGGGGGGTTGGTGCTCTCCTCATCGCTTTTGCGCCGCCCAACTGCCCCTGTAGACAGGTCTGCCACTGAAGCAGCCCCGTTGTCCAGCAGGTACCCCCACCTCACCGTCCCAGGTGATTGCTAATCGGCCTGTAATTCCATGTAGGCTGTCCCGCCTTCGGCGCGTTTGCGTTGCCCGTCGTGGCACTAGCCCAGGGCCCAGATCGCATGCTTCATGATTTTGCATCCTGATGTCGTGAACCTCCAGCATCGCCAGACCCTAATCCTCACAACTTTAACGATTCTTGCCGCGTTTCTGCTTCCAGATTATGTTTAGTCCGTTGGTCTAGCTCGCTAGGCAATTTCTTTTTTGGATGTGCTTCGCTCCCTCCCACTAGCTTTGCCTCTGTGCCCCTTGTATCTGAGGTCAGACTGTGAGATAAACGGCTGCTGGCGCCGGTTATTGTTTCCGCTCTTCTCCGTTTTCTTCTCCGTTTTCTTCTCACTCTCCTTTCTCCCCTTCTCCCCTCTTCTCGCCTCCCACCTCTCCCTCTTCCTCTTCATGGCCTCGCATAGCAGAAGTATACGAGCCTCTTCGTCTCTCGCAATCGACATCACTCTCAAAGGACCCGACAGGCGCTTAACCCCGGAAAGCGACACCGCTACCGACTCGGCCACGCCCACCATGACAGCCATCGACCTCATCACCCCGGCGGCGGTGGCACCCGCTACTCCCAACAAGCGGGCCCCGGGCTTCGACGGCGATATCCTCCTCATCACCTCGCCGCGGCCACCCACGCAGAAGTGGATTGACCACGTTGAGGCCAAGTTCCCAGGCCTGCGTGTCATCTACCGCGAGCTGCAATGGGGCAATCTGCTCGCGGCTGATGCCCTGACCAAGGACGACTGGCGCTCGGTCACAGTCCTTGTCACGACGGGCTTCTCGCTGCCAAAGAACCCGGCGGACGTACCGAAGCTGCGCTACGTACAGCTCTTCAGCGCCGGCGCCAACATGATTCTCAAGGAGCCGCTGTTCACAGACACAGATATTGTCTTTGCGACGGCCAATGGTGTCCATGGGTGGGTTACTTACATCGTACCTACCTACTACCCAACCCCCGTTCTTGACGAATGAGTCCGTACTGATCGACAGACCCCAAATCACGGAATGGATCATTGCCACGTTCTTGGCATTCAACCACCAGAGTAAGCTGCCCCCAACTGCCAATCCTGTCCGTGGTCGTGCGTCGTACGTCGTACACATCTGACATCAGCAGTCCCCAGGTACCTGGATCAGCAGAAGGAGGCCACCTGGAAGCGGCCTGATGTTGTCACCGAAGATGCCCTGACCCAGAGAGTGTAAGTTTCTCAAATGCCACTTCCTGCGATACACATGCAAACATGCAGCCATACAACATCCAAATGCGAAGTAGTGTCCCCCGCTGATCCCACCAACCCCAGAGGCATTCTTGGCTACGGTAGCATCGGGCGCCAGACGGCCCGCGTCGCCACCGCTCTCGGCATGGAGGTTTATGCCTACACGCTGCACCCGCGCGATACGCCGGAGTCGCGCCGTGACGATGGCTTTGCGCCGCCCGGCACTGGCGATCCGGAAGGCATTTATCCTACCAAGTGGTTCTCGGGTGCCACCCGCGAGGACCGCCACGCTTTCCTGTCGTCCGGCATCGACCTACTCGTTGTCGCTACTCCGCTCACTGATGACACTACGCACCTGCTCGGCGCGGAGGAGCTGCGCCTGCTGGGCAGCACCCGCGACGACGGCACCTGGCGGCCAGGCTTCCTGAGCAACATTGCGCGTGGTCCTATTGTCGAGACAGACGCGCTGATTGAGGCGCTCGACAAGGGCGTTATCCGGGGCGCCGCCCTCGACGTTACGGACCCGGAACCGCTTCCTGCTGGTCACCGGCTATGGGGTGCTAAGAACATCATCATCACGCCGCATATCAGCGGCGTCTCTACCAAGTATGACGAGCGTGTGCTGCAGATCCTCGAAGGCAACCTGCAGCGTTTGATCGACGGACGGCCACTGGCCAACCGGGTGAGCCGCAAAGATGGATACTAGATGGGTGCGAAAACGTCTCTTCATTTCCGTCCTATGGTCACGTCTGTGCTTATCCCCTTTTTGGTTTATTTTCGTACTATTTATTTCGTCATTTTGAATGCCTAGAGCTGTTGCTGTCTCTTACTTTGGTATATGACAACTGTATGCGAACGGCACCTCTCTTTCGCTGATGAACCGACTTTGCGTACTCCGGTTTCTCTCACCATCGGCCTCATTCATCAACCATGCCACTGTGAATTCCGCCTGTGGTGGCGCTTTGCCAACCCCGGTGCTGGAGGGGCACCACACTGCGTTGTATTGAAATGGCTAAGAAGCGCCGCAGCTACCGTGCCCAGCTCGAGCTCAGGCTGCCACAGTGGGGGTATGGCCACACCGCTGCTGCTGTTCAGAGCCATATCGGTACTCGCAGACGTTGTGTCCGGCCCGTACAGTATCCACGACGTCAATGGTGACAGGGTGGCATGCTTTTGCGGGTCATAACCACCAAATGATGTGTTGGCCCACTGTGTATACGTCTGATTGAGATTGTTGGTGGGTGGCCCGTCAGCTTCTACTGTGTTGTTACCGTCAGATTCGATCCACGGTGCTAGATTCAGCTTCTGTGTGCGGTTCAGCGCCTCAAAATAACCCGTGGGCGCGCCCCGATCGATGCGTTTGCCCATGGGTCCGCCCATGGCGAGAATTTGAAAATTGTCTGTGCCGTTGAAGCGAGGCAACACAATCGATGTGCGGCCATACGCAATAGGAAGGGTGCGCAGGTCGATAGACGGGTAGGTGACGTTGTCAAGCGTGGTTGTGCTAGCACCTGCTACGACATCCCGGCCAAACGGCTTGCCATCAGCATCCCAATAATAAAATGCCGTGATCCAGCCAGAGATGTTGAAACTCGGCCCGTTTGACGTGCCACTGCATGTATGCGGCGTATGTGGCTCGCGGTCTGGTGGCGGAGCCATTGTCCCCGTTGTGCTCTTCATGCCGCCGCCCGTGTTTGTCGTCGCCGTGGATGCTGCCGCTGGCTGGGCAACGACGATGGAGTTCCAGAATTCTATGATGGCTGGGTCGTCTGGTGCGTCAAAGGTTTGCACGAAGCGGCGGACCACGGGTAGCAACCGCGCACCGTAGGCTGCCGCTTCGGGGCCGAAGACCGACATCCGCTCCACGCGCCACTGTACCACGGCCCAGTCCTGGCGGGTGCCGAGTAGTGTAACCGACGGCAGCCCGCACAGAAGGGCAGCACCGGTATGTGGTGGAGGCTTGCGCCCAAAAGGGCGCGTCTTTGCCAGCATAAGGATGTGTGCTGCCATGACGTGATCGTTTGTCGATGTCGTGAAGTTGGGCGAGATCCACTGGTGCTGTAGCCAGTCGACTTGGATGCGGCTCGTTACTGCGGCGTAGAGAGACGCCATGAATGTGTACCAGTCCGGGTATGCCGAGTCGATGACCGTCTCGTTGGCACGCAGGTCGTACGCTCGAGCCGCTGCCTCCGCCGGATGCGCGTTGACATAAAAATTGATTTGGGCTAGCACGGTCAGCCACAGCTCGTCTGGCTGGAGCACGAGGTGCAGATGCTCGCCCCAGGCCTGCAGGGCGCCGCGTACAAAACTATCGGCAGATGGCAGGACCCGATAATCGTCCTGGACAAAATAGTCGATGTTGTCGCGGTTGGACATGAAGATGTCAACAGACCGGTTACCGAACTCGTTTGGCGCGCTTTGCGTGTAAAAGTCGTACGGCGTCAGCGTACCGGCTGCACCGGCGTATGCTTTCGGAGCGCCACCGGGCAAGACTGTTATGGCGCTGACGATGGCAGCAGGCCAAAGTGTGGCAAGCGCCAGGATGCACACCACTGATGCCATGTTTTGCACCTGGGCGGTGATGATAGTCCCAAGTAGAAGGTAGGAAAAGGTCATTCGCGGACAACCAAAAAATGGCGCTGTATGAACGCTCAGTCACCGGCTGGAAGCCAGCTGGGACAGCGACACACCCAATTCCATATTCTTGATTTCCCCCATTTCTGTCTTTGCTTCTCTGCCTGTTACAGGTGCACAGAACAGACGGATGCAAGTGGCTGCTATCGTTTTCCCATGCTCATTATCGGCCACTATCCGAGTGTGGCTTTAACCGGCATCCAAACAGGTCTAGACATTGTTCAAGAGATACAATATCCGAGACGGTTAATAGTCAGAGGACCTACGAAGAGAAAGATGGGAAAAGAAAGACAGTAGTAGCACGAACGGGACGAATGACGCATATGGAGGGCAAGTCACAGGCACTCTACACTGTAGGTCTCATGAGGCTCTTCAGTGGTATCGATATCAAGTTTCATTTGCTTACAGTTGCTTGGCACATTGCCAATGGCGCCGCCTTCTCGATTGTAGTATCGGATATAGCGCAGGACATCCAGTGACTAAAGTCGCTGTACTTTTCAAGAAGAAGACGTAATTAATGTCTGCCGTTCGGAGTATTCCGTCTCCGACTGCCGATCCTCCGAGTCCCCGCACGTAACGATAGTCACCACACCTACCTACCTGCTTTCGGATGCATAAGGCGGACGTCACACCAAGTCGGATGTATCGCCGTGGAGACAAGACCGCTACCATACGGCGTCCAAGCTTACAATAGGTTCATATATTTAAGAGTTGGTCTTGGAATATGAATCAAACAGATGATTTCGATGCTTGAAATGCACAAGGCAATTTAGTACCAGCTGCGAAACGCCAGACTCCACGGGAAAGGTAAGCGACTACCCAATGCCATGTCAGCCAAGCCATTTCATCTCGCCATTGTTGGTGGAGGCATCACCGGCCTTGTCCTGGCGATTGCACTCCACAAGCGTGGCATCCACGTCACGATCTACGAGCAGGCAGCCGCATTTGGCGAGATCGGGGCGGGTGTGGGCTTACACTCCAATGCCGTGCGGGCCATGAAGATCTGCGACGCGGCGATATCAGCCGGGTTTCAGCGGGTGGTGACAGGCAACGCCTGGCCGTCAAAGAAAGACCAGTGGTTCGAGGTGCTCGACGGCATGTCCGAGGCACCGGCTTCGGCATCCGAGCTGCTCAGGCCACTTTTCACAATTATCGGCCCAGACGGAGGACATGGAGCGTGTCACAGGGCACGGTTTCTCGAGGAGATGGTGCCTCTGCTGCCAGAAGGGTCGGCGCGGTTTGGGAAGCGGCTGTTGTGGATTGACGACCCGAGCGATACCAGCAAACCCGTGACGCTGTTCTTTGAGGACGGCACGTCGGCGCAGGCGGATGCTGTACTCGGCTGCGACGGCATCAAGTCGCGAGTGCGTGCGCACCTTGTTGACAAGAACGACCCGGAAGCGGCGCTGCCAACCTACAGCCACAAATTTGTGTACCGCGGGCTCATCCCCATAGCTGATGCCGTGGCTGCACTGGGTGAAGAACGGGCGGCCAACTCCATGCTCTGGTTTGGGGCCGAGCGCCACGCGCTCACATTTCCTGTTAACCATGGCAAGACACTCAACCTGGTGGCATTTGTCACCACAGACGACCCATGGCCTGCCAAGGGTGCGCATCACCTGACGCTACCGGCGACGCGCGAAGATGCCCTGCGCGACTTTGCAGGCTTTGGACCCAACGTGCTGAAGCTGTTGCACTTGACAGCGCCGAAGCTTGAGCGTTGGGGCCTCTTCGACTTGGCGGAGCGCCCGCTACCCCAGTTCTACCGTGGCCGTGTATGCCTGGTGGGTGACGCCGCGCACGCCAGCACGCCACATCATGGGGCCGGTGCGGCCATGTGTATTGAGGATGCGGCCGTGCTGGCCGAGCTGCTGGGCGACGCGAGCGTCCGGGACGCAACGGGTTTGCAGGCAGCGTTCGCGGCATTCGATGCCAATCGCCGTGGCCGCTGCCAGTGGCTGGTGGCCAGCAGTCGTCGTCAGGCCGACTTGTACGAGTTGCGGGCCCTGGGACGTGATTACGAGGCGATTGCGGCCGAGATCCGCACTCGGCAGGCGTATATCTGGAACATCGACTTGGACGCGGCTATTGTGAAATCACGAAAAGACCTAGCACAGCGATTGGCACTGGGCTTACCGGCAGCTGCGGCGCCTGATCCGACGGTGCCGTTCCCGCCAGATATTAACTTTCACTTGAAAGACGTGGAGGCGTGAGGAGACACAAATATATGCATTGCCAAAGATTTATATACCCAGTATCCCAATGCAAACATAACGTAGAAACAGAAAAGAGAAACTGATATAAAATGCAAGACCCACGACTGCTTTGGCTGGCTTAAAGACTCCGCCGATACGTCCCGCCCCTGGCACGTCCGTTGCCCATGCTGTTTGTGTCATTGCCGACGATGATAATGCTGAGATTGTGGCGGTGGTTTAGACCAATGGCGTCCAATGCATGCGTTTGGGCCGGTGGTGCAACGGCGTGCTGTGGGTGTGCCGACGCAACATCCTCGTCGTTGCTTGCGCCATCATCCGCCGTGGCACCGCCGCTCCCGTCAATCGGCTGCGGCGCAAAAATCACGGGACATGCCTTGGTGCACACCGAAGGTACACCGTTTCCAAAACAGTCTATGACCGTGCAATACCAGCCGGCCGCGCAGTCGTCGGAGGTCGTGCAGGCATTGTCGCGCTCGTAGTCACCCAGCGTGCATTGAGCGGTGTCTTCAGTCGTCAACGCACACGAACAGGCGATCTGGCCGACATGGTCGGTGCCACAATTGTAAGGGTGGAAGTCGGCAAAGCAGTTTGGAAACGTGGGCTGATGCAGTGTTTGGATGCCGCCGTCGCGAACCGACACCTGACCTGCTGGGCAGGCGGGTGCACCTTCGACGTAGGTGACAGTGCTCGTGGCCGTCGGGGTGGGTTGGTTGGATGCGAAACAGGAGCAGGCGCTGGTGACGCCATTGAGGAGAGGCTGCAGTTCATCGAGGCAGGCCAGCGATGTTTTGGGTGTGGTACGCGCGAAGTTGGCGCGTCGGTCAACCCGGGAAGGCGGATTGGGGACTGTGGCTGTAGCGTTGGCAAGGCTGCTAGTAAGGCTCCCAGCAAGGCTCTCGCCCCCATCACCGCTCTTGCCCCAACTATCGCTGCCGACCCTTATTGTGGTTGTGGCAACAATAGTTTGGACAATTGTCTGAACCAGTGTATCGGTTGTGGTCTGAGTACGATCGAATATGACTGTCTGCGTCGCTGTCTGCGTAACGGTGATGGTTGAGAGGCCGACTGGAGTGGATTGAGTCGAAGATGACGATGTCGGGGACGACGCTGAGGATATCGTCATCCATGTAGTTTCTGTCGTTTCTGTCGTTTCTGTTGTGCTTCTCGTCAATGTTCCTCGTGTCACTGGCACGGTCACCGTCTCGTACAGAGTGACCGGTGTCGCAAAAATGCCGACCGACCAGCTGCAGAACGTGTAGGCCAAGGTCGGACTGCCAATGAGACACCGCAGCAGATTGTCGTGCGGGCAATGTTCGTTGTGGTCCGCGTTGTCCACATTGTTCGCGTCGTCAACGTCACGGCCCTTGACTCTTGTCGCTTGGGCCTCACGGGCAGGGGGTACAGCGGCGACAGCCGCACTGGCAAACACCGCAACGAGCGGCCCAAAACGCATCGTTGTGTCTGTGGCCCATGGATACTCTTGTCTTTTTTTCCCCCGTCAACTCCAAAACGCTGTCGACTGGGGCCGGACAGGAAGATGAGAAAAGTGCGGCAATAGGACGTGGCTTCAACGAATTTGGAGGTCTGTGAGCCATCTTGGAGGCTCTGAAAGACTGCTCAGCAACCAAGGCTCAAATGCATCGGATCATCTTTCTGTGCCACAATTTGTTTTCTCCTTTAGTAATTTCGCTGAAAACGCCTGTGTCTTCAATCGGGGCTATTGTTTTACGGCCCTGGCCAGACTGTCTGAACTCTGGATTCAGCCTTTTTCTGTTGGGAAGTGCAATTTATTGCGGATGAACTGCCTCGGCGGACAATCGAATGGATGCATACAATAAGAGGGTCCGACAACAACGGGGGGAAGGCAGAAAGCAAAGAATGTGTGCTGTATACAATCCACGTACAGCCATGGGCATGACCGAGCCGCCTCAGCGGGAAGAACAGATGGGAGGAGAGGACGAGAGGACAATGACAGGGGCGGTAGTGGGAACACACGAGGTAAGGAATAAAATGGAAATCGAGAAGAAAGTCAAAACAGACCCGAGATTGGAGAGGTCTAGACCACCAACCTCTAAATGGTCCTGTGAGGCAACATTGGGCGAGACAAAAATAGACAGGAAAGAGGCAACGAACCCGACGCAAATAGGAAAACTAAATGGGGGCAGAAGGATCAATTAAAGACGCGATGTGAAAGGAACGGCGAGGCTGTTAAACCAATATGGGTGCCATATTGTCAGGGTAGATGGAGAGCTATTGAATAAATGGTGCGAGTATGCGTACGGCGTGCATCGTAAGTCTCCTAACAAAAGTCACGTCGCTGCTCGAGTTCGTCATTCAACTAGTTATGAAAGATCGTCGCCTGGCTCTGTCGTTTTTCCTGCTTTCTGCAACGAGACTGTGGCCTACTTGACTATGCAAGGAATGGTCTCTCGTCTCATTTTACCGTTTTGCCTTTCAAGGGACGGCTACTGAGGGTAAATCTTTGGGATTCACAGTTGCATTGGTTTGGTCCCTTCCATGCTTCGTTCTGGAATTTCTCCGCTGAGAGGAAACATAAACAATGCATCTGGAAGTGGCTGGTTGGAAAGTCTTGGTGAACAGTAGCTTAAATTTTAAGTTGGGACCGCCGATAAAAAGAAAAGCATAGAACATAAAGACAAAGAAGAAAAAGGACGCTTTGAGTTCAAAACATTGGGGAAATGCACTCGCCAAGCCCGAACAGCGTTTTGTTTTCGTGCAGAGTGCAAATGGTAGTGGTCAAGGAAAGAAAGGACAGTTTAGGGAAGGATAGAAGAACATGACGCATCCCTGCATGGAGGTTGGTTTGATCGTCGGCATCTGGATGCCTGTTGAAACAAGGTTCACCCGGCACCGGCAGCTATTTTTGTAGTGCTGGTTTCGGCAGGGAAGAGAAAAGAAAACGTGAAGGCAATTGAAAGAAAGAGAGCGCGACGAAAAGAAAGAAAGAAAAAAAGAGGGACGGAGAGGGAACGTTGATTGGAGGCAATCTTTTGTCTTGTATTGCCGTCCGGCATTCGCTTCGAGGCAAACCCCTTGATGGAGGATTGGCAAACAGAGAACGAAGAACTTGAGACGACATCAGGAGACAAGATGCGATTAGGTCGGTAGGAGGTGTGAGAAGAAATAGGCTTTTTGACGTCCCAATTCCATATATGCGGAACAAATACATCGGACAACAGCTGAAACAGGCATCTTTCTCTCAAACAAACCGGGCATATCCTTCTCTGGAGAAACGACCATGGAAGAAAGGTCAAGAAGGTTTGAGACTGGACAAAAAAAGAAACTAAGGGGCACCAGAAGACTCGCGAAGATTGCGAGACGGGCCCAACGAGAGGGTCTGTTTGGGATCTGCACATCATCTGCCCTCATGTTTCCCAATTTCTTTACGTTTTGCCTCTTGCTTCACTCCATCGTAGTCCATCTTTTTACCCGTATGACTTCCCTGTCGTTTGCCATTGGCGTATGCGGTCCGGAGACTGGTGACGGCTGGGTCGCGGGTAATCCGATCGTCTCGTGTGGCCCAAGAAGCACAGAGAAGAGAATTGTAAAGCAGCAAAGGCAGTGGACGGGACATAGGGGGTGGAGAAGAGGTGAGAAGGAACCAAGCTGTGGTCGTCGCCAGATGCTCATAAGAGTGACGATTCCTGTCTCTGGGACATTCCGAGATACTTTTGGAAAGAGACGAGGGCGTCCCACACTGCCTTGATTTTGCTATTCTCTTTCCACACATACGCTTGTATTTAATTTTGCTTCGTCCCGGGACCGCCATGGGCTGCTCAACATTCGTCTTCTTATCGGGGCTGCTGGCCAGCGCCGCGCCGCTTGTGTCTGCGCAGTCGTACGGGTCGGAGTCGGCAGGATCATCGTCACCACCAGGGTCGTCAGGCTCGACAAGTTCGTCTGGCTTGTCTGTCGCACCCCCCTCCACGCCGTCCGCCATCGACCTGACTGCCATTGGGCTGCACACACTGGCGAAGGCAAACGGTCTGCTGTTCTTTGGCACGGCCACAGACACCAACCTGTTCAACGACACGTCATACATGCAGATTGTCAACGACCGCAACATGTTTGGCATCCTGGTGCCGGAGAACAGCCTCAAGTGGCAGCCGACAGAGCCGACGCAAAACGACTTTCAGTTCGCCAAGCCAGACAGCGTGCACAGCCTGGCGACGGCCAACCAACAAATGTTCCGCTGCCACACGCTCACTTGGTTCCAGCAGCTGCCAGCGTTTATCACCACAACGGCGTGGACGCGAGCCACACTGACGGCTGCCATCCAGACGCACATTGCGCACGTTGTGGGCCACTACCGCGGCGCGTGCTACAGCTGGGACGTGGTCAACGAGGCGCTCAACGACAACGGGACGTTCCGCAACTCGGTCTTTTTCCAGACTCTCGGCACAGACTTTCTGCCCATCTCGTTCCAGGCGGCCGCGCAGGCCGATCCCAACGCACGCCTGTATTACAACGACTTCAACATTGAGTTTGACAACAACAAGACGGCCGCCGCGCTGTCCATTGTCAAGCTCGTCCGTGCCGCCGGCGCGCGCGTGGATGGTGTCGGTTTCCAGGGCCACATGACAACGGGTCAGACGCCCAGCCGCGCCGCAATGGCGGCCGTCTTCCGCAAGTTCACCGCGCTCAATCTCGAGGTCGCCATCACCGAACTGGATGTGCGCCAGACGTCGCTGCCGCCGACGGCCGCGCAGCAGGCCCAACAGGCAACCGACTACGTCAGCATGGTAGGCGGCTGTTTGGATGTTGCGGGCTGTGTAGGTGTTGTCGCGTGGGAATATACAGATCGTTACAGCTGGATCCCGAGCACGTTCCCCGGCACGGGCGCGGCGTGTTTGTTTGACGAAAATCTGCAGCCGAAGCCGGCCTACACGGCCGTGGCGAGCGTGCTGGCAGCCAAGGCGACGGGGATTCCGGCGGGGGCGACGATCGCAGGCATTGGAGCTGGCCTGACCGGCGTTGGTGGTGGTGGCGGAAGTGGTGGTGCGTCGTCGTCGTCGAGTGGTGCAAACAGCAACAACAACAGCAGCAGCAGCACCAGCAACAGCAACGAAAGCGATAACAATGGGCAAAACTCGGCTACCAGCTTAGGCACAGGAAGCACCAATGTTGACATCCCCAGCGCCGAGTTTTTTGGCAACTTTGGTGGCAGCCCGGGCCAGATTCCAGCGTCGAGTAGTGGTAGCGGTAGCAACAGCGGGCCTAACAGTGGAAGTGGGACCTCGAGCAGCAGCAGCAGCAGCAGCAGCACTAGTGGCGAGAGTAATGCTGGTGGCAGTTACAGTTATTAGATCGCAAACTGACAGCGCACTTTGCACCCACTCCTTGCTCTCGAAGATATTGCCCCTTTTCGATACAGATTTGTTCGTTTCTTCACTTTTGGTTTTCATACAATGATTCCCCTTTAATCGTCTGGTTCCTGATACAGCGATTTACTCAAGATTATGTCCGACTGCGATGGCCCTGCTGATCTATTCCATTCGTAATAGCCGCCCACAGATAACTGGTTGTTCGTGTGGTTCGCAGTCACCAGAGAGACCTTATTCCCAGCGGCTAATGTCGTATTCGTAGCTTTGCAGATATTCATTTTGCCGAGCCACGTTTTGTGCTGCATTTGCTGGCTTGGGTAAAGAGTCTTACAGAGTACATGAGTGTTACAAGCGGGCCTGGCCGTTATTACTCGGCCAGAGCCTTTTGTTCAGAGAGCCTCGATGTAAACAGCGCCGGCATTGAGCCTCCGCTCATTAAGGGCAATTCAGACCGTCACCATGCGGAGGTCATCGCGGGTTCGTCAGGGTGGAACACGAGGAACGCAGGGAAATGAAGGCCGTTCAGGCAATTAAAAAAAAGGCAGTCTAATAAATGTTTTCGAATAATGATCGAAAACTGAATGAATGGTCCGAAAAGACGAGAAATGACAGATGGACAACGTGTCCTGCGGGAATGAAACGTGATTAAAATATCGTATCATTTTTTTTTTCAAACAGCATCGGCTTGCATCGAGCTTCTAACGATGAGCTACGCTGCGTCTGTGCGAATCCACAACACGATATCCATCGTGACTTTGCATCGTGCCGGGATACCACCTGCGTGGAGCTCCGGATCCGAAGAGCCTTTTCTAAGTCGCGGGCCTGCACTGCATATGGAGTTCGCGATCGTCGTCATTTCGTCAATCAAAACGATCCACTCAAGTCCAGCGCTATGTTCATTCGTATTGAGGGACATTGTGTGCTGGACAAAGTATGGTATCTCACTAGTGAGCAAAACTGAGCGCCAGACCGAATCCCGAGAACGCCCCGCCCGGTGTTTGCTTTGATTCACGTTGGAATGCGACACAGTGTGCAGTTTCTGGACTGGCGTCAAGGTACAAAGTCCTTCTGATAAGGAGACTTCAGACTTCTCCCCAGTACCGCCAGTTGCGGAGCCGACCTGCTTGGGCGCTACGACCGTCTAAGATACCGTGCCGACAACAGAGATGACCAGCGCTAGTCTTGTCTTAGGATAAGTCCGACCGCTACAGGCGACAGCTCCTTGCCAGTGGTATGTCCACTATCAGCACAAGCAAATCGAACAAGAGTGGAGAGCTGAGAAACGCACCATCGCATCGTATCCCCGCAAGGCTCCCCCCTAAGTCTTTACCGGGGCCCGGCCCCATCTCCGACGAAAGCACTCCGTACGACATGCAGCGCCTGCTCCACTCTTCCTGATGGCACCTGCTGTATGGAAGCAATAGCGGTTGGTCAGGCCTTCGTTGCAGGGGAACTTAGGCGCTGGAAAAGCACTGCACATTTGTATGGTTACAACATAGTGACATAGGGCAGTTATTGAATTCAGGAGTAATTAATTCGTACAGAATACGAGTATCTTATTCAGTACTAACTGCCACGATTGCGTCAATCAGAACAGCCCACATCACCAAATCTGCCCAGGCTCCCATTGTTCCTTCGATTGTTTATTCTCGTGAATTGGACTGTCAGTTTTCTCTCCTTACCTTGTGGGCTATTACTTGTCCACAGCAATTACATGTGCTTCACGAAATCATGCTAAAAACCAACTCACTTCCGTCAGCATATAGTCCTCCCTGAGCCGTTCGCGATCCGCCACATCACATCCGGACCACCCGCGACCACTTGTTTACGAGCCGCCTCGCCATGGGAATTGTTTTTGAACAAAGACAGAGACTGCTCGAACGATATTGGGGCCGTGTGGCTATGGATTGCCAGAGCACGTGCGATGTTCGGCCGCCGTGAACATTGGCACCGCGCATCATTTTTGTGCCGGACAGGATACCGTTTGGCTTCGCCCAAACTATCTCGAAACAGCTGCACAAGACAGCCCCTTCTCTTCGGCAACGAAACACCACAGGCTTTGGCCATAAAGGGAAATGTGCAACTGCAAACGATGCCCGCACCGGGAAAAGACGACTAGCACAGGTATTTCTCATGTCCATGACACTGACCAAGGCTAATTCGAGCCGAATCGGACAAAACGAGGGCATGTCGAAACGATAAGGACGGAATAACTATTTCGAGTGTCCAACAGAAGGCGCCCTCTCTCCGACTCTTTCTATTTGGCCCATTGCCACCTCCTTTGAACGGAGAAGCTAAGAAAGAAGGGACCCGGAAAATCGGGGAGACAGTGGCGACGTTGAAAAGAGAAACGAGGGACCAGACGAAAGCAGGACTTCAACAGTCCATAGGACGGCATTCGAGAGACCTGCCTACCTACTGTATTTCATTTTTCCGTCAAGAGCCGACGCCGTGCTACCCCATGCGATGGTGCGAGACTCGCCCAATTTAAGTTACCGCTTTGTTGCACGACGTGTCGCTACCTGTGGAAGAGTGGATAGAGCTGTACTGTCCCCCTGTGCGGTACCTGGCGTTTCTGTGCACCAGACTCTACAATACACCGTCCGAAATATAATACACGGATCACAGAGGGCAACAGTGAGTCCAGCAGAGGCTGACGAGAGCACAGCAATAAACCCCAATCAACCTGCCAGAATCATGTCTCGGCCAGATGCACGTTTTACACAAACGACCCACGTCACACAGCCCTCGTGCTACCCTTGGGATGTGCCGTGCCTATCTATAGACGTGCCATTGGATAAGCGAGAAATGAAAAAAAAGAAGAGCTGGATGAAAAGACAAGGGCTGCAGGGCTCAGCACGGCGAACACAGGTAGTGCATATTGCCCATTTTCTTGCAAAATAAACCCGTCCTATGGCTTCGGCGGATCTTCTCTGGCATCATTTGGCCTTCTTTTCAGCTTCCACGAAGCGATTCCTTCCTCTTCTAGATGTTCTTTGTCCGGAACCGTGGTATGCGTATGAACTGTCTGAATACGACACAGCAAGGACACCGGAATTGAATGGCTCATTGACGACCAAGTAAGGCGATGCTACCAGGCGGCCGTTCTCGTTCTATTGACAAGGATGCTACGGTGCTCCATTAGTCTTTCATTTTCGGCCCGCTCTCGGTCTTCTTGCGGGACGGAGCGGCACAACGGGTACGACTTTCCGTTCATTTCTTTCCTTTTAAGTCACTCTCGCTTCACCACTTTAAGCTTGTTTTCATCACTCGGCCTGTGTCCTTGTACTTTTGTGACTTTCTGTCCTTGTGTATGTCTTTCTGCCCTGGTGTGCCCCAGTGCCGTGGCATGCGTTCAGCTTGTACGATACGACTTTCTTTCTATCTTCCTAAGTTGTTTGCCTTTTCAGATGGTCCTTGCAAATGTCTCGCTCCCCATGCCATGTGTTTTCTTGTTTTACTCGCACGCTCACTACTTGTACTTCAAATGACATAAGGGAGCAACTCTACAATGGTATTTTGTGTATTTCCCGAAACCTTCCGTCCTTCTCGTCATGTTTGTTGTGCCACATTGCACATCAAATTTTCCTCTACGCCAAAAGTGCGGACTTGGTTCCTTTTTTTTCGACTACATGTCCAGAGTGTTACATATTTTCGGGTATCTACATGCTCTTTTCAATGGTCGGCGTGCTGCAGCCTTTCCGATTTTTAAACGAGGAACAAATAGAAATTGATTCTCTGTTAGGAGAGACAGAGCGACAAGGGCCATGTCCAGGTGACTGTAGATATGCAGAGGGCTGCGTGAAAATGTCTCGGGCTGAGCGGCTCGGAAAGGCTTCGTCGTGGGAGACCAGGAGCAGAGCGTGAAATGGGAGACCGACTCATTGCCGAAGTAACGGTAAGCATCGCGTGTATCGTTGCTTGTATCACCACGTTCACCATCGCGTGCATAATCGCATGCAGATCGGCGTTGCCTATCCACGGCCGTCTTGCAACCGATCATGCAATTGCACGTGTTGCCCTTGACTTGGTTGTCGTTTCTCTCTTTCCTGTCTTCGAATTTCCGCCGTTGGTGGAGCTCACTCCCTACGATCCTTTAACCTGCATGGCCATGATCGTGACCTCGAAAAAGGTAATGATGTTCAGACGACTTGCGTCGTACCCGGCATAAGGAGACGAGATGAGATGGAGTTTGTCACAAGTATAGGTGAGGGTAACACACTATTAAAAACCACGATATACACCATCACTGTCGCGTTTTCGACTGGAAGGAACGGATGTGAGAAGCATAGAGGTAGTAACCAGACGAGCTGATATAAGCTTTCTTGAGAATGCTGACGCCAAGAATTGTGTTTTGCGTTTCATTTTGTCTCGTGTTTTGATTTCCTCATCTGTAACTAAACTTCTTGTGTAAAAAGAAACCTTCGTTTTCGGTCTGATATTTTGTCTCAATCTTTTATTCTCATCATCCGGTCACTTTTTCGCACTCGACATGGACCGCCCTACACAACTATTTGACGCCCTTGCAGGCTGTCAACACAACACGAGCCAAACTAAGACATTTGTGTCCAAGGAAAGACTATTTTACCCCAATCATAAGCAGTTCTGTCTTGTAGTCTATGCCTGCATGGAAGGCTGTAAGATGACACATAAATAGATCATAAATGTGGCGATCTGAGCCACAAGACAGCTGAAGAAAAAAGAAGGGCTGAATAGCTTGATTCATTTTTCCTGGTCTCCAGGGTTGGACAAGAATGAGGGCATGACAAGAGAAACAAAGCAACGCCTCTAAGGGAGGCTGATACCATACAAGTTTCTTTTAAAACGGTTTGCAAGCAAGTCGAAAAGGGCGAAAATAACCAGCGCGCAAAAATAGGCAAAGACGCTGCATCAGATAGATGTTTGTACGATCGCAAGCTACCAACCCCAAGTTTAAGCGAAAGGCTATGCTGTGAAATTGCTCGCAGGACATCCTCACAAGGTGTGTTTCTGCAGACGAAAGAAACCACAAAGTCAAGGTCATAAGAGCCAAACAAGAAAGGTAACAAAAAACGACTAGGAATGAAAAGTCCTCCGTGGTCCGTTATTAAGAGACGATGAAAAACGAAGGCGCACGAAGCAGTGCGTAAGGCGTACAAAGCCCCCTCCGGGTTGCAGATACGTGTGTAGTATGCAAATCCGGCACATTTTCTCCTTGGTCGTTGGCCCCCTTCTGCCTATTTGGGGTTCTCGGAAGAAAGGCTCGCCTCGTGTCGGCTGAGCATTGTCGGTCACAAATGGGGGTACGCAACAGTTGGTGGAGGAGGACCTTGGTGTTTCCCAAAGCATCAAATAAAATACAAAATAAAAACAAAATAAAGAAAAGATAATCTTGGTCAAAGAAAAGAGACGTACACAAAGGAGACAAATATGCCACAGGAGGTCAACGACCACAGAACACAGATACACGAAACGAGCCATCATCAGTTGGATGAGAAACAGGAGAATAGAAGATAAAATATATATGAGTGAAAATTAAGGGAGAAATAAATAAAATGTATTAGGAACCAGAGGGAAGCAGGAGAATAGGAGGACATGGGCTGTATTGGTGTTCCCTAGCACCCCTTCGTTTCCCAGAACGGGAATGGTCTTGTCGATGATGCCGTTGATGATTGGCGTTACCAAAGACGAGATACATGAGAGACAGACGCAGTCTCGCGTTCCCATTTTGCGGGAAAAGGGGGAGAGAAAAGAGAGGGCATCGCTAGAGATAGATGGAAAGGTATAAAGGTAAAGGGGATGCCTATGAAGAAACGGTGTGGTTTAAAAACCCAAAGAGATCAAACGCATTGTAACGAGGCCAACACAGAAGACAAGACGTCACAAACGAAACGAGATACTTTTGGCATTGATACCGACATTGAGGCCTACTAAGTGAGTGCCTTCGTGCTGCTTCGAGAGGCTGATATGCATTGTCACGACAGCTGGATAGTGACGCGAACGGCTGACAAAGATATGCAACAGAAAGAAAGCAAATATCAAAGGGAGAAAAATCAAGTGAAGAGAAATCAGAAACAAAGAGCAAAGGAATCACCTTAAAGTCGGCGAATAGAGCACCACGCAAAACCGCCATTTGCACACAATATCACCATCACCATGTGCACGTACTACTACCTCCACCGCCACCACACGCCGCCCTGCGACCGCATCATTGACTATGTTATGCAATACGGCTTCTGCACCCATGCCACCATGGACCCGACCACTGGCCTCGCCCTGCCGTGCGAGAACTTGTGTTTTGACCAGGAGCAGAGCGTCGACTACAACAACCCGTGCGCAATGGGTGGTTGCACCGAGAGCCCTGACTGCAGCTCCGGAGCCTGTCGTCTGGCCGAACTTAATGGAATATGGGTCTGCTGCGAGTGCAACCGCGGCGGCAATGTCTACCGGTGGTGCGGTCATCGCATGCGTTCGAGCCCGGACACGCTCTGCTACCACGTGTGCTGCAAGAACTGCCAACCGGACGAGGCTAGCATGAGTCTCGGGCGAGAGGCCCCCGTGGCGAATCCGGTTTCCTATTGAATGTGTTCATGTAGGGGCTGTGCTGAGCGCCAGAGAAGGAGAAAGAGATGTTTTAAAGAAAGGGATCCAGGTAGAGCTGGGCGATCCTCCGGGAATGGAATAGAATGGACAAGGCATGGGGCTTCTATAGTAACCAGATATGAAACAGGCACGGTCTGTTTTTTTTTTTTAAAAAAAAAAATATGTTCTTTGTAGTCGATGATGCTCGTATCGCCGTCCTGTATTGGTTGACTTCAAAAGTACCATTCCCATTATTCGGGCTATATTTTTTCTTAACATAAATGTGGATTCTTTTTTGTTCTTGATACACTTGTTCACATAAAATTTTCTCCACTGTTGACATGTTATTCTGAGGGTTATTTTATTTTATCTATGTTTGTAGTGGGCCACTCAAGGACGAACCACACTTATAATTCATAGTTGAGCATCCGTGAGAATCTTTGAATATATTTGTCTATGCACGGGTTGAATGGTCGTGCATTATCCGTAACAACATCGCGTCGAAACCGTTATTCGTTGCTTGTTGGCGATTGCTTAGATCTGCCGGTGTGTTGGTAAAGTAATAAATGTGCTGGGCAACTGAAGGACGCCGATGTTTCCCTTCTCGGCGACGAGTGGTTGGCCGCCGTTGTGGTTTGACTTGTGGCTGATGCCTCACACTGTACCTGGGTTGGGAATGATTTGCGAAGGTAAGCGGGCTCACAATCTAAACCAAATGTGATCAATTTTTGATCGACGGAAAAATACGTAAATAAAATAAAATAAAATAAAATAAATAAAACAGGAACCATGGTATCTTCGGCTTCAAAAGGAGAGGGAGATCATACGCCCGGAGGGTGAAATCCTTTGTAAGAAATAGGTCAGACTGGTGGTAATAGAAAAAATCTACCACTTCAGCTGGCCTTGATACACAGTACATAAATTCTGAGTGGTTAACGATCACTGTCGCCTTGGTGGACTCATATATGCGTAAGGAAATCCTAAATCAGATCTGTGTAACCAAAGACAGCCGAGCTGAAACAGGATGCGAAGTGGCGAGGAAGAGTACGAGAAAGAGGCGAGGCGGAGACCACAGAATAACATGGAGGGTGAGAGGCTACGTACAGATGCGAACCTAATAATTTCGCGAGCTCCGATTTGGGAATGATAGATCATGTAAAATCAAGATATTGAGACAATGGAACAGGAGGAGGGCACACAGAGATCTGGCAAATCCGGTCACGGATGTTGGCCGGACAAAAACCTCAAAAACCGAGTAGAAGGACAGGGTCCAGGGACTCTGATGGCGATCACACTAGATGCAAACAATAGCGGGCAGTAGATCTGAGATGGTTTATATCTGCTACTTTGCCAAAGTGCATTGGAACAGGTGCTTTGGCAGGAGACAAGGTTTTTTGATTGGGTGGGCGGGATTGGGTCCTGCGGAAGACGACATTGGATGAAGGGCCAGATTAGGAACGTCTGGATAGAGAATATTAGTGTGGTATTCTACAGAGATTTTGATTTTTTATCAATGGTATTTTCTGTTGCTGTGTTTTATACTTTCTGTTATTTACCTCATCCTTTCTCCCCTTTTAAAATATCTTACCGTCGCCCAAAAACGACACTGGTTTCTAAATGTTATCGTCTAGAACTAAAAGATGAAACTATTTACGTCCTCTCCACCCACACAAACTATGAATTTGAGATACAGTCTAACCAAATTACGATGGGCCGTCTGGCCTGCAGAGTTCGTACACACCCTCGGTAATTTTACCGTTAGGCGAGACAAGCCCGCCTGGCACAGAGTGATCACAAAGTATCTGTGAAAAGCATGACATTCGAGTCGCCGAATGACCTGCGGCACCACGGCGGGCTTTGTTCAAATTTTTTTAATAAAAATTCTTTTATTTCTATGCCCATTATCGTGATGCTTTCACAATATCAGATGGGTCGTCCAAACCACTTCACGTCAGCCACAAGGGTAAACAGGATAACATGGCCAGTATGCATCCTTTAGAGTTGGATTTCCGCTCCTCGGAATAAACCTCCGAAACTCTGTCGTCTCTTTCCGTGACTCCATCGACACGAACAGGCCAAAGAAAGACAGCCGTCAAGAGACATAGCTGGTATGGGGTAGCTAGGTGATATTTTGCCCCTTCCCCATATTACACCTGGGGGAGGACGACCCATCCACGCCCCCTCTTACATGAGTAGTTTGTCATCCACCGATCTCGTTGTTTTCAGCTGTCAAAGAATTAAGATCATATAATGATACGGGGCAAAACGAGACAACTTCCGTATTCAACGTAGCATACCCGAAAGGCACCAAAAACAATGCGCACACCTTGAGATTTGTGTACACCGACGGCTGTTTTTGTAGAGCGTGCTCATTACATCGCTGTCTGTCGAAGTACGTCGAACAAGTTTTTGTTCTTTATTTTCAGCAGGCTCTACTCTCAATAACTAAGGTTCTTTTTCGTACTCTGTAATTCAGAATAAGAAATGTTTTGACTCTGAGGATGAACGAGCGGAACGCGACTCGAAAATACCCATCGGAAAAAGGAAACAGAAAAATACACAAGTACGCAAAGGAGCAAATAGGCACAAGGTGGTAGTTTAAACGCCAAGCAAGGCGAATTTAGCTGGCAGAAGGTACAACATTGGTCACGATCAGCTTGACATGGCAAGTAGATGACGATGGACATATAAAATGTCAAGACAGTCCTGCTATCAAGATGGTATTGGAGTATGCAGTAGCAACTTTTCCATTTGCAGAGAGCACTAACAAAGACGAATCGAAACGAAGACTGGCGCACCAAGAAAAAAAAATTAGACCCGTCTAAACAAGCCACACAATCCATACGAGGGGGCTTTTCAAGGCACATATCTGACTGGTAAGAGCGCCTTTCGTCGTGTCTCTATGGATGGGAATAACTGGTGAGAGTTGGTAGGTGGGACTGCCAAAGAAATTAATTTTTTTTTTTGAAATAAATGCAGCTGAGGGAAACGACGAAATGATTTCCGGAGAGTGTATACTTACCATTTTAGCACATACATATCCCAAAACTGAACACGTTATACGACAACAGCAACGTACGAGACCACGACGAGGACAAGAGGACCCACGAGAAGAATAGGACAGGAGCGGACGAGCTACCACATTGTATCGGCTCTGGAGAAACTCATCGTCCCATTTGCATTTCGCCTCTTTGTCATTACACAATGTGTCTCCAGATCAGCTACACTTTGACGTGCGAACACGTTAAGACGCAAATGATCTATTGCGCCGACGCCATTCCCGTCGCCTCATCGTCGTCTTCTTCATCAAGCAAGAAAGAACACAAGAGCCACAAGAAAGACAGCAGTTCCAGCAAGAAAAAGAAGAGCGCGTCGTCTTCATCGTCTTCTTCATCCTCGCATCGCCAGCCTAGGATGATTCCCTGTGACAATCTCACACAACAGTCTCTACCATATCCGACGCCACCTAGTTTTACATGTGACCCCCAGACGGCGGCTACGTCGCTGCTGGCACCCAAATGTCCTCTGACGGATTGTCCTTTTGAGGCCAAAGACCGTTGCTGGAACTGCTGCTGGTGCGGGAAGGGCTGGAATGAGCGCGGCCGCTGTAGCTGCATAATGATTATCGAGGGCAACAGAGTTCAGTGCGAGCACATCTGCTGTTCTGGATGCGAAGCTGCGAAGCGGTGAATTTAACTAGGGATGCCAGCTCGCATTTAAAACAGAAATTCAGCTGACGCGGCTTCTTTTCTTTGCTTTTCTTTGCGTCTTTCAAGGTCGTTATCTCTTTTGGCTTGTTTTGCTTCGGCAAGTTGCTGGTATCTGGCTTTGCTATTTGCTTTAATCGATGGGAGGACATTTGCTTTTTGTCAGCTAATTTTTGACAGCTAATTTTGTCTTCTATTTCCCCAAAAGAGATATTTTTCTCTTGAGAGCGCCATTGTTTAGTCTGTGTCTTGGTCGGCGATCTGGCACCGGCGAGTCTGTTCAAACAACGTGTCGGTATGAGATGTTGAATTTTCTCGTTTGTTGTTGGCGGTATTTGTCCGTTTGGTGTCTTGTCGTTCATTCTCCCGCCGATTCGTCGCCGCATCGCCCCCTTTTTGTTTGTTTACCTTTCTTGCACTAAAGCGATTGACTTCGCTCTTCATTTCTTCCCCACAAACCAAAATCGTCGTACGTAACTAAAAACAGCGGCTAAGCAGCCCACAGGCACAAATAAAAGAGAGCCAAGACTGTTCCGCCGTTTACTTCAGCTACTTGATATTGTTGCTCGCCCTTTGAAAACATGTTACAAGTCTTCCAGTGCAAATAATAAAATGTCTGAGTATTGAGGACCGGCGGGAGACAAAGCCATTTTGTCTTTCCTAAGACAGCGCGCGCTACAAGACTCCATGGGTAGACGAGATTCGCGACCCAGATCGTGGGAATTTTGGACACTGCATGCTGCATACGGCACAGTGTACGCATGTATGCACGCATTTGTACATCGAGAGCACATAAAACGAGTGTAACGCACGTTGGCGAATTTTTGGGAATGTCGGGAATAATCCACGCGCCGGGAAATGGATGTGGGATAGGGAACACCCAAGGAAGAGCTCCCCAATCGACGCATGAGACCGTAGCACCATTTGCCCTTTCGCACGAAGTAGTGGGGGTGTAATATGGCCAACATGTGTCGGTATATAAATGTCGGCCGCAGACAATGGGCGTATCTAGAAAACACAAATGGTTATATTTTGATATTGCGAAGTCGGATACGGCTGTTTGTTGGAACTAGTAAAGACAAAATCTTTACTGTTCGCGTTGCATTCGTATCCGTGTGCACACATGTGCGAACATTCCGTCGACAATTGATTCGCCATTGTGTGATGGAGCCCGCGATACGTGGCCAGCACTATGCAAGTACCGATCGTGTGGGAAGTCACAACATCTTGCAAACGCAACTCACGGCTTTTCGTACCTAGATCTATCTGATCTTGTGGAAGTACACGGCATTTGTGTTGGCCGTCACACCAAGAGACACCCTCACCTGGGAGCGGGCGGTCTCAAACAGATGAAGCTTCCCAGCGTTTGATGGTTGGTCGTGGCTGAAGAAAGAGGAAACACAAGTACCCTAAACCACCAACGACGGAGCAGCCAATCGCTGTTTGCTCCGTAAGGATTGACGAACTATTCAACCAGATGCACAACCCTTGGCCATTTTCCTTGGAAAGTAATTGCTGCTACGTGCAGTGTCATGGACTTGTCAGCAAGGCCTTCGTTTGTGCTCGATTGGACAGTTTCTGAAGAGGAATGAACAGAGTCGATGAAAGGAATGGAAAGTCCTTATTTGTCGCACAGCCTTTGCCATGTTTTTTTTTTTTTTTTACCTTCCGCTGGGACGACAGGGCAAGTCTCGGTGTCGCAATACCGCCTGCAGCTTTCGTCTCGATGTCTTGGATGTGGCGGCCCCTACCCATCGCCGCGATGTCGAGTGTCCCAGCGTCTAAGACAACTCACACATCGGAAGGATATGTTCAATACAATCTGCCCGGCACCAAGGCGTCGGGTCATCCAAAGGCCAATGTTAGACACATTTAATCGGCTGCATGCTTGGTGGGCTGGACGAACGGTAGACACAAGGGGTGCCAGTCTACCCTTGCCCTCGGCACTTGTCTGTTTTGTGGCCTCGCTTTGTTTCGTCGACCGACACACACGTCCTATTGCCGGGTATCTGCAAGGAGGCGTAAGTTTGGCTGGCCCGGACAGAAGCTCGACATGGGCAAACGATCCTTTGTTGTTAGATGGGCAACGTTGCGCAGTCTTATTTCAAAGTATATAAGAAAGCGAGAAGGTCGACTACTTTTTTAAAGTAGATAATGCCACTGACGTTTCCTGGACGGTTTTTTCGTGTTATTTTGTCTTGTAAAAACTCACAAAGTCGAGTGATTCAACAAATAGAGACACCCATCATACGTACCGGCGTTAAGCATAAGCAGTCGAAGGTAGACATCACGGTTGTCCCAAGTACCAACCCACCTTAACACAACAGGTACTGTTGTCACGATGTGCTACGGCCACCCACACCACCATCCGTGTGGCCATCAGTCAGTTAAGTGGCATTACTGCCCGAGGGCCAAGATTGATGTCACAACGGGGCATGCAACTGTCTGCAACAAAACGACGTATGCCATCTCGCAGCCGGCCAAGACTCGATGCCCGCTAAAAAACTGCCACTTCAAAGAAGTCGGAGGAATCTGGGACTGCTGCACGTGTAAGCAGGGCCCGAACACTCAAGGATGGTGCACATACCCAAATCCGTCGTGGAAGAAGAACTTCCAAAAGGACGAGTACGAGTGGGTCGAGACGTGTGACCATGGGTGTTGCAAAAATTGCACACGCAGCGGTATGTTCCCCATCTCATTCACCCGGCATCTTTGCTTGTTCCTGGTTATTGTCTTGAAATAGTTGCAAAAAGCCTTGGTTCTGATCGTAGTTGCCACAGAAAGCGCTGGACCTATGCCGGAAGATGATATGAAGAAAAAGAAGAAATCAAGAAAGTCTAGCAGCGATGTAGCATCTGCTGGATCGTCTTCGTGTGGCATAACGGACGGATCCGGCATGTATGGCGACTATGGCCACGGTGACGGACATGGGTATTATGGCGATGGACATGCCGGGGATGTGGCGGACGCTTCGAATCCGGGGAGTCGTCGCCATGGCCCGGAGGGCAAAAAATCCTCATCACATAGCAAAGGAAAGGGCAAGGATAAGAGCAGATAGTGGTCCGTGTGTGTACCGGACTCAATCGGGTTATTATCAGCAAGACTGGTCTAGTCCGGCAATGCGTCCCGTCCACGCAGAAAGATCGGTACAATGGCATATTTCTCGCGAGATTTCGTGGCAGATGCTCGCTGACACAAATACAACGGCCTAGAGAGAAAATAGAATGCGTTGTCTGGCGCTTGAGAATCGGATGGTATTGAATTTGCGTCCTGATTCATTTAGAAACGACGTCATAAAATGTGCGACATGCGTTCAAGATTCGGGATTTTTTTGTCCCGCAGCAAGAGGAATAAGATCTTGTGTGAGTTGAGTAAACGACCAACTGCATGGATAGTCACTGACGGTACTTCCAGGAGAAATGCAGATATCGAGGATGTGTTCCTGCCTACCGTCTCAGGTAACCCATCGTTTACTCCTGGTGTACGTTGTGCGTCGTGAATCCATCGCGTGCTCTCATCCTTTGACGTACTTTGATCTCCTCTCTTTGTTCTCCATTTTCTATGTCTTTATGTGTGCCACGTAATGTGGACGTCCCTCAGGAACTTTTCGACGACGGGCCACTCTCCCCGCCACGTGTTTAACATGTGGGAAGAGGGTCGGCTATTTCTTCCGCTTTGCAAGGGTAGAGAGGGCCGTGATTGATCGACCGGCCAGCCGCGAACAGGCATGGGCCTTTTAGCAATTGGCCTGGCAAGTGAGGAGGTGGGCTGTCAAACACATACCTGACAAGTCCAGGGTCTCCAGGTATTCAGGTATTCGAAGAGCTTTCAGGAGTTCGCAAACGCTTGCTTTCTTGTCGTTTTGTGGTCCGATGCAAAATTTGGTTGCGAAGGGGAGTTTGCATGGCGGCAAGAAAGGACCAGCTCATGGCGGAGTTGGTGAGTTCGGCGCTCGTGCCCATGGAAGCAGGATCTAGCAATCAATTTCGACGATTTCTGAACCATGTATGGACTGTGAAAGCAAACTTACGGTCCACAAAACACTGCGATGCAAGTTGAAAACACAACCGTGGAACGACGTATCTTAAACTGCCGCAGGCATGGCCTAGCCAGGCACCCAGGTTTGCGGCGTGTTTGTGCCTTGTATATTTCATCAGCAAAATTACTACCGCTAACGCGTCGCGCTAGCCAACCTAGTTGTCTTGATCGACGAAAGAGTGGGCTGCTTCTGGTAAGAACGGTGGGCGATAACCACCACATGGCATACCGTCAGGGCGCATTTTAAGGTAGAAGATGTCGTGTCGGTTGAAGAAACTGTCTGGCAGTGCACTTCGGCATGCGTGTATGACGATCTTGTATATTATCATATGACGCACTCTTAGCGTCTCGTTACGGCGTAGTAATACCTTCCTTCTTTTTGCAGTGAGCGACAAAGGAAATACGAAGAACCGCCCTCGGAAGGTGCGATGGTCCATCTCGCACGGCAGATCACAGAGCCATGTGTACCTGCCATTACCCGGACAGCCAAAGAAGGCTAAGCACGCAGATAGATACCACCGAATGAATGGAATTCGCTTACAAGTTCCTCCAACTTCGGCTCCCAAATTATGTCTTTCAGTCAAACTCCCATCTATCGGTGCCTTCACAAAGACGAGAAGGGGGCGGGGAATCACCCACTTACCTACGGTATTCGAATCAGGCCCGCCTGTCAGGCCTGCAACCCCTTGGTTGTTTGAGATTGGACCCCAGCCACTAAGAGCAAAAGACGCTTAGTTCACCCTCTAGTGCCGTAAGCCCTGCGCAGCAGGAAAAGGCGACCAACGAGGTTACAGACACAGGGAGGAAAGAGCCTGCCGAAAACGTGCGACGGCGCTGACCGCCCGCACTTTCCTCGTGGAGGTGAACTTTCCGAACGGTCTCTTTATCCTCGTCCTCGCTGACTTCGATTGGAAGGCATCTTCATTTTTCCCCTCGCCCACGTTTCTCCGCAATCCTCCTTTGTCGCCAATATTATCAAGGCTTCGTCTTCAATCGAGATCGTACACTTCCATCGCCACAATCGCACATCTGCGCATATCTCCGCTTCACCCGCCTTGTACACATTTTACCGACCACCACCTTTGCTGTCGGCCCCAGGCGTAACGACCGACTGGGAAGGCAACTCTCGCAGGAGACCGCCCTTGAAGAAACCTACGAAACCTTACGAAACTTGTTGCATACTCCCACAAAGCCAATATTTGTCCTTCTGTGCCTTCCAGGTACAGCCGCTCTCATTCTTGACCTCCTTTTCTCGACCAAATCAATCGCCATGCCTACCTCCCTAGAGTCAGCGCGGCCGATCATGGCCCCCTCGGTATGTCTATACAATGAGAGCCTGCAGTTGCGTGTTTACATGATTCATCTAAAATTTGTTTGCTGACACGTTGCCACTGCTCTCGCTCCAGGCCCACACCTCTGTTCGTTTCAGCACCTACAGCATGGCCCCGTCGTATGCCCCAACCGTGCGCACCACCGACTCCGCAACAGCCGAGATCCAAACCATTGAGAAGGGCCTCGACCGTATGGAGAACAAGGCTCTCCAGCAACAACGGGTTGTTCTCAACGAAGAGAAGACAGCCGTTTTCCAGAAGCTTGCGTTGGGGGCCAAACTCGACCGCGCTCTCGACCGTCGTATGACTGGACAAGATGCGGAGATGCGTCTGCCCCGGACCAAGAAGACGGACGAGACATTTAATGAGAAGGAAAAGAACTAAGGAAGCAACCAAACGTATTGCGAGGCCTCCATTCCCCACTGCCTTCACTGCGGAGCTCGCCCTCGGTCGTTGTCGAGATAATACCCTAAGTGACATTCGCTGATGTCCGCTCGATACTGGACACGCCACCCGCCATGCTGTCACTTTTTTAGCTTTTGTCGGCATGCGGCCCTTTTCTTTTTTATCGTTCTTATGAATCGGCGAGAGGAATCCCATCGCTCTGCCGATGTTGGTTTCCTATTTCAGGCGTCCAGTTGGCGTCAAGTCCAACGTGTTTACCATTCTGCGTCTTCTTTTTTTTGTCTGGGTTTCCTGCATTTATCTTCTTGCTTTGTCATGCCCGGCGACTGCCGCTGTTTGTAGCTACATTAACCATTTTGTTTCCTTTCATGAAACTCCTTTGTGTCGTATCTGCACTTTGGCGGCAGCTGGTCAGGCTTGTAGTTTGCGTTTTATTGTCTACGAGAGCTACTACAAACCTTTATGTTTGGTAGTTCGGTAGAATGCGGAAATTTCAAACATGTCTGTCAAGCAATGTGCCATTAAGACATGAGTCAAAACCTGGAACACTGAGTAAGAATATCTCATTATCGTAACAGTACGAAAAGTAGAGACTAAAGTAAGACGCTGGTAATAATAAGACAATACTGCCCCCCTTCACTGTTAAGGGTCATCTGCCTGCTCCGCCAATTTCGTTACAAGGATGCAGAAGCATTGTCCAGGAGGCCTTCGATTTCGGCACGCAGAGCGAGGAGGTCGTGCTCTTCGCCCTCCATCTCGAGGCCGCGGCGCACCCAATCCTGTGCCTCCTCTAGGCGGCCCATTTCCAGCAAACACTTTCCGCGCCGCCACCATGCCTTGGCGTTGCCTGTCTTTTTGGCCTCGACGCTTGCCTCCGCATCTACTGCGCCTTCGGCCCATGCATGTGTTGCCATGTGTGCTTGTGCCCGGTTGGCGTACAGAGTGGCAACCTCCTCATGCACCAGCTGTGGTGGCTCCCACACGGGTCGTGTCAGTGCCATTTGCAGACCGAGGGTGTAGAACTTTATGGCCTCAGCATAGCGGCCCTTGCGGAAGTCGGCATTTCCAGAATCACGGAGCTTGTTGACGTTGGCAGTGCGTTTCGGGTTGACTGGGATTGGCGGCGGGGGCACAGGAGCACCGCCGTCGATGCCCAGCAGAGCGCGGTGTAGTTGGTTCAGCGCTGTCAGCTCGTTGTCTAGCGCTCGCGTTGGCTCGATGCTGCTTAGCGCCTTCGTCTGAGAGTCTATGCGGAGGGGATAAAAGGTGAATGTATCGAGTTCGGACATGATGGCGATCGGTTCCGGGTACGATGGATGAATAAGAGATGCCTTGTTTAAAGGAAGCGAAAACGCGGGTAATGGCTGAGGTTTTCGGCGAAAGAGCGAGAACAGGGGAAAATTGCTGGTGGGTAGAGTTGGGTAGTAGTTCCTCTTTAGGTCCAAGAAAGTGTCGTATATATCGTCATTCGTTGTAAAAACGCATTTCGTCCCGTGTGGTTTTCAGCAAAGCGATGGTCGCGCGGTTGTGATGTCTGTGGGGACGTTGCTGTCGATAGCATGAAAGAAGCCAGCTGTGAAAAACGCTGGTCCACTTTTTCTTATCATATTTCTTATCTACACCTGATACATGCATACCAGCTTGGAATGCTTAAATCCGGGTGGACATTTCTTAAGTCTTAAGGCCCGAAATATTTATCATCGGCTATGGATATTTATCCACTTAACGTCTGTGGCCTGTATTAATTTGCCCTCTTTTCCCAATTCTTGTGAAACGTGAAAATACGCAATAATATAATCCAAATCGCAACCAAGTGCAAGGCTGTAGGTTTCCTTCTCACTGCGATGCAGTGACAAGGCTAAAATGAGCAAAGCTGAGAATTGTCTAACTTGTAACCGACGTCATAGGCCGTAAATGGCTGGGGACTCCGGTCACATCATGAGATTATGTGTTTACGAATAGATTTTGGTATTTCAATATTGCTCAAAATAATTACCGAAGAGTAACCTCTTAGATTATATATCTCCGCATGAACAACTTATATTTGAAGAAGTACATGAACGAAACCGACGATAATTATGAATTTGGTGACCTATGTAATGCAAATATGCAGAGGTCATCTTCGAAGGATGGCGAGGGCAAGAAACTGTGTCACAGGGTGAGTCTTACGGTTCAGACTAAAGATAGTTATCAAGATCGCTCGGGCGTTGAAAATGCTACCAAGTAAGCTCTACTAAACCTTTGCCATCAACAGAACCAACTGAAATAGCTGGTGATCTTTCCAATATAGCTACCATGTATAGCATTAAAAGCGACGAAGGCAGTCCAAACGCCGCTGTACACATTACAGGATATTATGACCCGATTTCGCTATATGCCATATCGCTCAGATAGTCTCTTCGGGCTCTTCTGGTGGTCCACGTTTGTAAATGTCGCGAATTTGCCAGCCTTTCATATACATCTGGCACACAAAATATAGAGGGTGCTCAAAGCATTCACGGTAATGCTTCGTGTCCATCAGAGCCGCTGTGATAGGGAAAGTAGTTAGCAAGAATAGTCGTCCAGATACTAAAACGCGAATGATTCGTAGAGAAAAACCGTACCTAATTCAACCAAGTTTCTCCAATGCGATGTCACCAGATCAAACTGACTTTGAGAAAGATGGACCTTCTTTTTACCCTTTCCCTTTGCTGATTCGATTTCGAGACGTGGAGTAAGAGGAGGTTCGACTATTTTGCAGAAGATCTCCCACCCATCATCCATAGGATCCATCGTGCGGTAATAGTGCCAATAGCATAGGATGATGTTGGCCCCAAACTGCAGCTCGCCAACAAATTCAGGGAGTGAGTATTTTTGCTAGATTTGAAGGTTGGAAGTCAGTGTGTGTAAATTATATATGGTATGCTCATATTGTCAAAGCAGAAAGGTTGGTTACCTTCAGCCAGTTTTCTTGAGCATGGCGATGACGGTCTTGGCATGACAAGGACACCTCCGACAGAAGAATGAATGTGCAAACGTAAAGCATGAACCAATTATCCGGGTTGCCCGTGCGAAAAAACTTTTCAAACTCGGGAATAAGATCCTGTGTCAGTGGTCGCAAAAAGCGGGAGACCATGATGGAGTCGCATTGTGCGGTGATCATCCGGGGAACAGATATTCTGTCTGCGAGCGGGTAGTCAGGGTCGTCGACTGGCAAGCACCCAAGCTTTGTAGGCCCACTGATATAAGAAGACCCCGTCGTGAATCCTATGACACGTTTGGTTAGCCACGGCTAAATACAGATGGACGATTTGCAAGAGGTTATAGAGAAATACGTACGGACACAGAACCACAACTTAATGAACTTGCGCATGAATATTTTCTCGACGTCGCCTTCCTGTGCCTATTGTCAGTATAAAATGACTATACAAGGCTTTGAATGGGCACTGAAGTAGCGCCCATTGCAGAATTGAAACCGATCCCAAGCACCTACCGGAAGGCTGTGATAGTGATCAATCGCTGCTCTTAGATGGTCTCGGATGACGGGATGCGAAAACTTAGCAACGTGCCCCATTGCATGGACTGCATTGCTATCAAAATATTCTCTGAAAATATCGACGGTAGCATTCGCGTCGGCGAGTGCGTAGGGAGGGAGTTGAATAAATCGTTTCTCGATTCGCGTATTGCCGTCATCGAGTTTGATTCGTTTAATCCACTTTCGCGTAAGGACATCGCCGTCAACCGGTTTGAATCCGCGGACGCGAAACTTGACAGGTATGTCGCACAAATCATACCTGTGCATATGGCTGCTGTAAAAGAGCTTCATCTCTATCTCGTGCGTCTTGATTTCCGTCCAGTCACCGACATCCTGGACGGTAGTTCCATCCCACCGCCGGGTGAGGCCGAGGCCCCCAGAACGGTACGTCGTCATAGCAATCATACGCCAACGGACGCATCGAATTTCGTGAAGAACCTTCTTGGAATTGTTTGACACCTGCTGACAGGTAAGACATGTGTGGAATGGTCCAAGAGGCGAGGGGACGCACTGGACAAGTTAGCATTGTAAGGAGACCGTGCACTGAGTCAAAATATGTAGTTCATTCCGTTTACTTACGCGAACACGCTGGCTTTTGCATCGAAGGCATGCGCCGATAGCACGGGTTTGGCTAGTTTCATTGCGTTGGTCCACGGAAAAGGTGCTTCGGGAGCGCCTCTCCTGCTTCCGGCGACTATTCGTGGTCTGCTCGGGGGTGGCGTTGGGAGCTATTTGAATCTCATTTCCAGTTCCGAGGGTGGTGGTTGGCGCACTTTCGGTTGAGTAACTGTCTTTCGGGGCGACATTTTGGAGGTTGTCTTGGGTGCTATTTGGGACACCACCCGACCCAGACGTAACATGTGACACGGTATTGGGAAAAGTTTGGCTCTCGGTATTGGACCCCTCGGAAACATCTGCTTGTGGAGTCTCGTTAACTGGGTGAAGAATATTGTGAAGAGGCGCAGCAGGCACGAATGCTGAAGAAGACCGTCGAGTCAGCGGTACTTGTGGCTGCGTATTAGCTCCGCTGCTTTGGCGAGACCGTGTCCAGGCTCCAAACGCAGGCGTGAACGTCCCATGGCCAAGATTGGTGTGTGTTCGGGCGTAGTTGGTTTTGGCAACATCCTGCTGGAAGTGCCTAATTACTGCATCAGCAGAAAACTCAGCTCTGTGTTCTCGTCCCGAAACAGGATTTTGGGTCATGTTCTGCGTGGGAGCAGATGCAGTGGTCGAAAACCCGTCTACGATGTTACTGAGGCTCCCGGGATTGTATCTTCCACTGCTTCTTTCTTCGGTATTTGTCGATGATGCGCGATGAGCAGGAGGAAACGGTGCCGCAAACCCATTCGTGCTTCCGGTGTACTGGTTTCCTGCACCGAATGCCGGTGTTGCTGTCGAGTGGCTTGTGTTGCTCTGGTCGTGGACCCGTATAGACGCGTAGGGAAGCCGGTTGTCGTCGCCTCTGGAACTATTGCTGCTGGCACTGGGAGACGATGTGCGGTGGACACCCGCGGCATACGCGGAGTCTCGGCGGGAGAGTGGGCTGCCTAAAAGAGGCGAAGCCAGCGGTGGTGAGGGAAATGACGTCGAGCGAACATGAGGGCCCCAGCCGGGTGGAATCACATCAGATGACGGGGTAAATGGTTGGGTTGGTCGCAATAGTGTGCCGGGAAACTGTTGTGAGGTATGCTCCGCAGGCCGCGCCGCCAATTGTCCAGGGACATCGCTGGAAGAATCTGCAAAGTAGGCAAGTGGCGGACCTGATGCGGATGCGCCGGTAGACACTGGTTGTGAGCTGGCAGAGGCATAAGGACCTTCATATGCCTGCTGGATGCCGTCGGTTTCGTGAACATCAAGCCTTGTTCTCTTGTTGTTGGAGCCATTGCTGGTCGAGCGACGGCGTGGCGGTCTGAGGTTGTCGGATGCCTAGACGCAAAAGTTAGAATTCGCACATGACCGTGGTTGACCGCGTCAGCCGGATAGAAACAGTGGGGATGAGATGTGTGCCGAACACTGCAAGGCTGTGAGAGACGAAAGCGACGTGGGAATACAATCTTTTGCGGACGTCTTATGGTCGCATAGTCGTGCCCCCGAAGACGCGACAACGGGCAGTGGTTCCAGATGCGTCGTCACGAATGAGTGTAGCAGACAAGGCTCGTAAGGTAGAAGTTGAGGGACGTAGCAGAACGAAGGACAAAGACGGCAACAAACGTGATTCCACGGTGAAGGTAGTAATAGAATATAGACAGGAACGAATCTGAGGTAAAGAAAGAGCGAACCAGGCTCCTGCTCTCTTCGACTAACGAGCAACTTACATCTATGTTTGATCGGGAAGGTGCGCCGTGGTCCATTTGTACGGCGTGGCGCGCGGGGTGGCTGGTTGTCACTTGTCGCGTTAGCTTCGAGTGTCGGCTTGAAGGTGGTTTTGTCCGCATCATCTCGCACGAGGCATTGTATCTCACCGATCTCCAACTACCGGCGCGCGCATGTAGTTGTCATCGAGCGTTGCTAACCCACTAGATCGAGTCGCCCTTTTTGGGACGTCGTAGTGGTACTATGCGTCGGAGTCTCACGACCAGCAGCGGGTCGCGAATTTGTGATGATGCACCAAAGTGCAACAGTGACCGCGTTTCTCTGATAAAAACAAACAAAACGCACGCGGTCGAGCTGGCTTCTGTTGTACAGTGGCCAGCGAAATCGGCGATACAGATGTCAGGCCGTTGCGAAATGGAAGTTTGAGGCACAGCCAGAGAAATCGACAGGCCTGTGACAAGGCAGGGCAGAATGAAACGATGGGGGTGGACGTGGGTACAGGTTGGTCAAGGCGCGCACCCGAGAGCTCCCAGAACCGGGGGAAGGAGGATGACAAAAGAGTGTTCCTGCCACTAACCTTTTCAATGTGTTGTTTCCACGCCCCGTTGCATCCGCTCACGTCCCGTCCTCGTTTCTGCGGCTCCTTCGCTGCACAGAGTACACGCGCTCAGTACACTACACAGTAAACGAAAATGTGAAGCGCGTGTTTAACGGCCTCGGAGCGGGCAATTAACACACCCTGTTAAGCCTGCGTCAGTCTGTGGCATCGAATACTGGAAATACCCGCAACTGTTTTTGCTGCCTTGTAGATAAAGATGTCTTCTCACCCAACCGTCACAAGAGACGTGGTGCTCGGCGCTGTGCACTCCGCTCTGCGTTGAAAGGCCCTAGGGAGAGTGTGATGAGCGATGCAGCGTCACTTTGAAGTTCTCTCTCTTGTTTTCGAATTCGTATGTGGCCAGAGCCGTTGTGCGACTTGACCAAAAGAGAGAACGAAAAAAAAATGAGGGAGGAGAAAGGAAAGGGAAATTGGTAGTTAAGAGAAAGGAGGTGGTTTAATGAAAAGGATGTGAGAGGAAGCAAGGTAAGCACAGAGATAAAGTGAAAGCGAATAGTACAAGAAAGGTGAATGGGGGGTATCTAGACAACAATGACGGAAGAAAGCGGTCTGAGAAACTGAGGGGGCTTGATGCAACAACAAATAGGGCGCATGCAAAAAGCTCACCGGCTCTTGATATGCTAGCATGCCAAGGACGTGTCACGTTGCTGCCGATGTGCTTTTCCGGAACCCAAGCACAGACGATTTGAGACTGCCATTCGAAGAGAAGAAGGGAGCAAAGATCGCAGAGGCGACAAGGTCCTGTACTTTCATAGACAAAGTTTGTGCTGTGATAGCCATGCAGATTAGGGGCAGCATATGACGGGAGGCTGGGAGGTGGACTTCGTGGAAGGGAAGAACACAAAGAAAACAAACAAAAAATTCGACAAAACAAGACAGACTCGGAAAGAGAATGCGATTTTCCTAGAGCTGAGTCTGTGGATATTTTGAATGCCGCCGGCAGTGTTTTGTCTCGGTCATTCGACAGCTGCACGGGAGGCGAAGATCCAAAGTCAAATAACAAAACAAGGCGCCTGGTGACAAGAGAAAAGACCTTGAACTGGGCGGCGCCCAGAAAAGAACAGGGGAACAGTGGCAAACAACCCCCATGCATTCTGTTGCGCATGGGGCACAGAGCAAATAGGAGACACAAAGCCCCATCCTCCAGAGCCGCGCTCTGTGTAGAAATTATTACTGAATGGGAACCAAACGGACTTCAAGGTCGGCATACGGAGATACGCACAACGGAAGGACGGCAGCCAGTTGGTAAAACCAAAGCACACATAATGACATGACTAGCGGGATTTTAAGCGACAGAAAAAGGGCCAGGTGGAGTTCGAGGCTTTGGTTCTTGGATGGGATACTACGACTGCGTTCCCTCACCGGTTTGCAAACATGGTACCGGGATGGTTAAAGTCGAGAAAACAAGGCGCCACAGTCACGTTAAGTATTACTCCATGCCTTGACCGGTTGGCGTGGTCAAGTTAAACAGAAGCTTTGTCCGCGAGGGCCCGTTGGCATAGTTCTTTTGGGGGAGGAGGGGGTGACCAGCTCTCCGGGTGGTCAGCTTCCCGGTGGGTTCTGGCTTCTGCGGCTCCCATGTTTGTCTTCGTCCAGTGGCCTGTTTCCTCCCTCATGTTAATTGTTTTTTTCTTCTGTTGGTGCGTGCAAAGTCAAGGGTCCCTTGGCCATTTCAAAGTGGAAATACAGAGAAAAAGGTCCAATTGCAGATTGCTCTTTGAAAGGTTCAACTCGTTGAAACAGACTACAGGCCAGCACTGGTAAAGTTGAACTGGACAGAAACTAAGATAAAGAGGTTACCGAGCAGCTTTGAAGTCGTCGATCAAAGAAACGAATGGGCTTCCGCTCTTGTAGGTGCACAAATCAATCCAAAATAGAAGCAGTTGATATAAAATGAGAGAATCAAGGCTAACGAAGCAGGGAAAAGAGAAAAAAAGAAAACGCCCGCCTAAGCACCATCACAGGTCGACATGGCTGTGGCACTGAACCGAAAGCGATATACCGAGGACGACTGCCTGACTGACTTGGAACGAGAGACTTACCCCGGGCGACTTCAACTTTCTTTTACTTGATGGTCTTGCTTTAAATGTGCAGAATACATGTTGTTCAAGAACGACGTACGAAAAAGACAGGGGATCGGCTGAGAAGCAACGATCCCTTCCGCTGTGGGGTGATTTTTTCCCATCAACATAAAAAGGTGCCTAGAGACATGCGTGTCTCGTTTCTCGTTTGCTTAGTGCGTCGGGTCCACGGAGTATTTGCCTGACCCTCACCCCCCACAGGTCTCTCAGAGGGCAGCCTTACTCTCTGCCTGGCATACGCGCGAGTGAGTCGACTCAACCGGTGCTGTCACTCTTCTCTCTTTTTTTGGGTTTGATTTTCTCCGACTCTTACGACATATTTCTTCACGTGTTTGCTGTTTACTTTCTTTTTCTGCTTATTTTTGCCCAATTCTGATGCGCTTGGTATCATCTTTCAGCTAGCCACAATTTTTTTTGGTAGTACTTCGTTCTTGGCCGTTTTCTTCTGTTCTTTCTTCCTAATAACTGATGTCACATCACATTTCCCCACCTCATTCGTGGGGGCCTACTCGTTTTCAACAAGCGACTGGACATGTAGCAGGTGCCTCCTCACCGCTCAGGCCCGTTATTTTGCCTTTTTAACGAAGTTTCCTGCCGTCCCAGAGGTGTGCACAGTCAGAAACTGGTAGACATAAAGCTGTGGCCTTTCTTTACTCTGTTCACTTGTCGCATATTCGCAGCTTGCAGATGCTATGTGCCACCAAACTCCCAACTTTGGCCCCAACTTCTAGCAACACAGTGACCGATTAAGCACAGAAAGCACCAAAGCACATTCGGCTACCGTCAAACTCATGCTCCAAGCTATGTCTATTCTAGATCTGGATCGGCCGTCGGTGTGGTAGCATGGCGTCGCCTGCCTACAGCACCACTTGGACAATACATTAAATACAGAGTAAGACACTTTATGAGGTGGCAGAGCTGGCAGGGCCGAGCCGAATCAAGTGCTGGGAACGAAAGCTGGAATTATACTGGCAAGGCAACGCTACAGAGCCCACAAACTCAAAGGCAGTTGCCAACGGCGCTTATTAGCCGACTGAATTCTAGGTGACGAAGACCTTGTCCGTCTCTCATATCCGGTGTGGTTCAACCCCCCGGGGATTGGCTTGGTCACGCCCGACTATGCTTGAGTCTCCACCGACACGGTTCGTCCATTTCGTCCGTAATATGCACAGCAACTGCAACGGACAACAGGCTTCAGGTGCCCACAATCAAGCGGTTTGTTGCCATTTCTATTGCCCACATCCCACCTCCGGTTGCAAGGATTGCCCTCATCCGAGCTCTTGAACCACAAGCTAATTAATACCTCGTCGGCACTAATCTAGCCTCTTGCATGGAAGCTGCGTCATGCTTCCTTTCAAACTCTCATACCGGCTCCAAGTTGCGCCTAGCTGCGCACAATGTGCAGAAACAGGCAAGAACCCGTTTAAGCTGAGCGAAGGCGGAGGAGCGGCACCAGTTCCCATAAAAATATGGATTACTTACTAACCCAGACACAAAAGGGAAAGGCAAAAACAAAACAAAAATCAAAAATGAAGAGAAAAATAATCCAACTGCCAGAGATCCTGGTCTTACTTAGCAGAAAACTCAGGTTTCCTTCCATCACTGGACCACCCACTGAACTGCTTGCCACACATCGAAAAGAAAGCAGGCACTGAGTGAATAGGCCAGTCCTGTCCACGCTTAAAAAGGCGTCTCCTGCAGCGTGGCGACCGAAGAGTGGGCCATGCAGACCGGAAGCCGGTACGTCGTATTCCTAGACTTGGTGACGAGGTTAGGACACCGGACCTCCAGTGCCGTTTGATCGTTAATGGAGACAAACAGCTCACCGGTTGACAGATTCTACAGACAATACAACTGCTGTGCATGGCCGCTACGATATTTCCACTTTGGAGTGCCCGTGTGGACATGCGCCGTTCGGAGTACTCCGTTGCATCATGCATTTGACAGGGGTCCATTGGTCGGCCAGGCCACTCGAGGATGCTAAAGCCGAGAGGAAGGAAACCACCGCAATGACCTGCATTCCCAAGCCGGGTCTAGAAGTACTTGCCGTACTTTTACTCAGAATGCCATTGTTTCCATCCAGGATGAACGTGGCAGGATTTGCTGTGTAAAATTCCAGGTGTTTTTATGTTGCGCGGCTGTTTCGCACCTGTCGCACATACCTCCAACTTTCATCTTAAACGTATTTAATAATAAAAAAGCTGCCCGAACGTATTAAATTACGTTATCCTCCGTCTTACTTTACGGAATTTGCGTTCGTCCTTCCATAATACCATCATGATAGCGCCAGGTTAAGAGAGACAAGAAAGTCAAAGAAAAAAAATGGAAACGCACGGGA